GGGGGGGGGGGGGGACACGCCTCCAGCTTCTCAGACACAAGCTTTTACACATGAAGAAGTGCATGTGGGTAACATTCAGGTGAGGGGCCACACCGGGCATCGCAATCTTTGGTGGGGGTGGGGGTGAGGGCCATCAGTCTCCCAGTTTCACAAAAATCTGCGAAAGCACTCAGCTCACTAATGCAGCTATTATTCCAAAAAAACCCAACGATCCACCATCCAACAGCATTTATAGATGAACGGGGAGGATTTGAACGCGCTCTGAGAAAAAAAAAAAAGTGCGTCATAATCATGAAAAGGCCATTATGCGTGCTATATAAAGCCATACTCACACACTGGCCCGCGTTCAAACGGGCCAGCGCAGCAAAGCCCGGGGCCCGACATGTGTTTACCATTAGCCCGCGCCGCCTAATCGCCCAAACATTATTATAACGCACTTAACGGTGAGTCTCCCCTTCAGGACAGCATGATAAGTGCTGTTGCATTAATGATTTACTATTTCCATAAAAGTCTAACTAGGGTCACCCTCTCCTGCCGTAGTCACTGGACCCTAACCGTCCGGCACCCAGCGACTCCCAAAACATTAATCTGCTGCCATTGATTAAATCTACAGGGACTATTCCCCCCCCCCCCCCCCCCCCCCCACACACACACACACACGTACACACCCACACACACACACACACACGTACACACACACACACACACACACACACACACACGTACACACCCACACACACACACACACACGTACACACACACACGCACACACACACACGTACACACCCACACACACACACACACACGTACACACCCACACACACACACACACACGTACACACCCACACACACACACACACACACACAGGCACACACACGTACACACACACACACACACACACACACGTACACACCCACACACACACACGCACACACCCTCACACACACACACACACACACACACACACACACACGTACACACCCACACACACACATACCCACACACACACACACACGTACACACCCACACACACACACACACACGTACACACCCTCCCCCTGCGTTTAGACAGATTATTTAGGAATTTTCCTGCCCATTTGAAAACATCGCAATCACACACACATGTTGACATTATGGATAAATGAAAAAAGAAAAAAAAAAAAACAAGAAAACAACAGCTTTGACTGCTACAACCAAAGTTCTCCACCTAAGCTGGGGTTTCCCACCCCGAGATAAACAAAACATGTCCCCACTATAAGAGATGTCCAGCACGGCTATCCTTCTTAAGCAACCCTGGTGAGACGGTCTAGTCACCATATCTTTACTTCTGTTTTTAAGGCTGTGAAACACGGGATTCCCTCAAACCACGGTTTGGCACTGAGCAGCTGCCAGTGGAGACGTTTCTGAGAGGCCGTGATGAGACAAGCCGCTTCCCAAAGACGCTAACGTAGGGCAGGAATTACCCAGGGTACAGATCACCGCTCTCGTTCATTAGAGACCGTAGGGGAGCTGAATGCAGACCGTGTGTGAGTACATGAAGCGCTTTGCCAATCTGGTGAGCGCACCAAGGCGTATGCCATCGCCCTCCTGCTCCAAGGCGCGGAATCTCTGCTAGGTTTTGGATAAGGGCCTCGGTAACCCTGCAGGTGTCCTGGGGGCAGAGCTAAGGACAGACACCACCTCACTTTTCAGGCTTACAGGGCCCCAAAGTAACACACTTAATAGAGAGACTTTTCATAAAAGGACTAATTAATACATGAAGCATGTTTTTTAAAATTTTATTTGATATTTTACCGGTTTTCTGATTTGCTGACTTATGGGAGGTTATCTGGGCTTTTAATCTCCCTAATGGGAAGATTTATAATTATAAATCAAGCCTGCTCAGACCCCTTATCCAGGAACCTTCCGGTCAGCTTTGTTAAGGGGATGGTCACGACTTCTGCCCGTTAACATCTGGACCTAAACAGGATTAACACCGCTAACCACAAATATAAGGCTGCCAGTACAATACGGTGGGGACTGAATGTTTAATCTCTACATCTGCCTGAACCCTTCTCAGGGCAAATTAATCATCCAGAAAATACATCTATACAATGTGTGTTTTGATGTACATTAAAGTAAGAAACACAAAATAAAGATTACTATAAAAGCAAATATGAAGCATTCTTTCAAAATGTGACAGGAGAGTGACAGTAAAGTAAAACCTTTATGTTGGAGTTTGAGGTAGATATAATTAGAGAAATTGCTTTAGTTCGTTATAAACCCAGTCTAACCCAGGACGGTCAGCTGTACCGTATCGGACTTAAAGTACCATCACTGCTTAATCTGTCTGTAACAAGGCAAGTCTTCTGTATGTAACCTGTAATGTAATGTAGGTGTGTCAGACTCCAAAGGCAGACTGCCATGTACAGCTATATCTCACGTATGAAATACCATCTGCATGTCACCGTGTTTGACACGAGCACTGCTCGCATCTTGGACTCTCTGCAGACGTGCATGTCACCATCACACGCGGTGGCCGCGCTGTTACAGGCATGTGATAATTGTTTATAACTCACCAGGACAAAACGAATTTAAAAGAAGCTTTTTGGCGCATAAATTCTAACGCGAAAACGAGTGATTCGAGATCTGACTAATCTAATCTGTAACAAAAGTTTTAACCGCAGACAGTGGGGCAGCATTTTCCCGTCTTTTTCGGAATTTCACAGCTAAATGAGACTTAATTAACTGATGAATGCGTGCGTTTACAGTACTCACGGATAGTTATGAAATGACACAAACAGCTACATAATCACATCCTACAAAACAAAACGAGGTTCTGTTTTTGTTTTTTTTTTAGTTTTTAGTTTCCGTTTTTTATTGCTTGTTTAAAGGTTTAATAACTTTCTCTCATGATCACAGCGAAACGCGCATCAGTAAAGCACCAAACATGAGTACAGCGTTCCACAATAATAAGGTCTTTCGCATAAATAAAATCCCCTGCGCGGTTTCCCCGAGTCCGCAGCCCCAGGTCCCGACACCCTCCCCGGCTGCCGGACGCCCCCTCGCCGCTCCTACCTCTATCGCCGGAGGGTACGAGTCTCAGCCAGCAGGGCGGATTAGAGCAGCGGCTCATAACGCTGCCGGATCCGAACGGGAGCTTCCATGAAACGCGGATCTGAAGAGCACGGAAAGCGTGTTGAAAAGGACGGAGACGCCACCTCGCCGCCCCACACCTACTGGGGGTCCGCCGGCAATAAGCGGAGGAGAGCAGGCTCGGAGGCACGCAGGTAAACGGGATATCCCGCTGCAAATGCGAGCTGAGTCCGCCCCCTCCAGTCCTCCTCCCCGTCTCTCTCTCTCTCTCTCTCTCTCTCTCTGTCACACACACTTTCCCTCTTTCCCTCCGTCTCTCCTTCTCCCCCTCACTTTCTCTCTCCCCCTCCGTCTCTCTTTCCCCCTCTCCGTCTCTCCTTCCCTCTGCCTTTCCCTCCCTCTCTCCCTTCCAGAATACACGTCCCGCTGCCCAGGATCGGGTTGCTCAGCAAATCACGGCGCCAGCCGGGAGGCTGATCGTCAGAGCCGGGAAGGCGGCAGCTCGCTGGGGGGAGAGGAGAGGGGGAGCGCTGCCTGAACTACAAGCAAGTCCTCTTATTCAGCGTACCTCCTCCGCAATTCAACGCGATTAAACTCCTTCATAAGTAAATTTGGTACATCCGGTTACTCGGTATACTACAAACAACCTGTTCAATGTTTTTCACCTGAGCCCCTTTTGTGTATTTGTAATTATATTCAGTTGCTGCCCAAGTGGCTTTTAAATTGAGGGTCTCCCACGCACTGCGAGTCTCATCCAAGTGAGTTCAAACAGTAGAGCAGCACTCCATTGCAGAATGATATCATTACTAGCTTTCCCTGATATATTTATTTTCTTTTGCACGCTCAGTGAGCTGATTTTGCACCCCCTCTGAGATTATCGGAGTTTATTGTCGACAGTGGCCCCCACCCGGCCGTGACTATCCTGTCCAGCTTGCCCTAACTGGTGTCTGCCCCTGGGAGGGCTCCATACAGCAGATGCAGACCTGCTTTCTGGAAGATGTAGTCCCACTGGCTGCAGTAATTAGATGAGCAGTGTGCAGTGAGCCAGACCACACGGCCAGTGTTCACCCAGGGAACCAGCTGTCCACCGCAATGCTGATGATGACTTGAGAAAGTCCTGCAGCTCAGGGAGACTTCCGGAAGGTGTGTCCGGCGAGAGGCACCATGTTTGGGCTTGTTACATGAAACCTCCCTTAAATCCAAGCCTCACGTCCCCAAACCAGCCTGAAAATAAGGGCTTTCCCATCTTGTCTTACGTTGCTACTGGAGACAACTCACCTGGATCGACCGCACCACGGCCGGCCCTAATTACATCGGCAGACGATAAACGGGGAATGCGTCGTGAAGTTTGAATCCTTAAATCTCCAGTCACTTTCTTCTTGCCACAATATGAACCACTGGGACCCTGTAAATCCATTTAGGCCAGCAGTTCTAAATGGGTCAAGGATGCGAAAGGAGTGTGGTGATTTTCCTGGCTGGATTGTTTTTGGGTCCCTGGAGGGGCGTTGATGGTGATAACAGCCATGGAGGGGTCTGTATACGGTCTGGATGAGGCTTCCACGTTATGTTCCATGGCTGACCGCCCCCCACCCCCCAGGCAATGCTGGGATTTATCAATGCATGTCCATCTGCTTACTTTCCCCCCTCCTAGCTCTGCCCCTCATCAGGCTGAGATCATTTTTAAAGTTCATCCAAACATAGTTTCCAGCAGAAATCTCTGCACGGAAAATCTGCGCAAGACGCTGTGATGTCACTCCCACTGAGCAATGGAGCAGCGTGACCCTGTCACAGTCGTCACGCCTTCACCTGCCTCTTTCTGGGGACTCGCCGAGTCCTTTCAGGTCAGGAGTGGTGCTGCCATTCCTTTCGGGAGGAAGCCTCTCTCAGACCCCGGGCTCAGGTGGGGTTAAAGGGTGATTGGACACAGTTCACAGTGAAAGGCCAGCGAAGGGGGCTGTCAGGGGGAAGCTGAGCGCAGACACAAAAGCCTCGGGCTACGGGTGAGGAGGGGGGACCACCGGGATCAGCTGACAGCCCGGCGTTCATGCTGATCCGATCGCGGCCTGTAACTGGGCTGGGTTCCTCGTAATCAGAACCGCGCATAAGCCACCCCAGCCTGCCCATCACGTGCGACTCTACCTCAGTGCCTCCGAAGGCCCAGGTGCAGAGCAGAATCACAGACCCAATTTGCACCTCAAAGACGCATTTGCGGGTGACGCGACATTGCGATGAGCTCGTAAGCTGCCGACGGAGACACATCCGGCCCAAAGCCCATGTCCAACCGAGGGGAAACCCCGGCTTCTGCCCGTGGTGTTTACGATCTGTAAACGGAGATGATCTCCGCTGATGGGGGGGGGGGTCACAGAGGATCTAGTGGCTGAGAGTTGCAGGGGGCGAAACATCCACCCTGCTCCATAGGGGCCTCCATTTTTATTTTGCTCTTTGTCACGCCTGCCTGACCCCCCCCCCCCCCCAAAGGGCTTCTTTGTTTTGTTCCATATAATTTACACAGTGAAGCCACTCATTTCCCTAATCCCCCTCCAAGCCTAATGATGATAATTAGTATGATATTTTTATTACTCCCTCTAAATACAGCTCTCACTCCTTTACCATGTGACTCGTAACCAGGGCAGATGAACTGACTCGCTACCCAAAGGGTTTATCTGAAAACTACAATATGCATATTCTGTGAAATTATTATTGTAATCTTTTTTATATTGGTAATTTCCCATAATGGGAATGCATGGATCTTCTAGGTGAAAGGGGAGGAACCATCTGCTTTGTCTCCGGTTCCATCCAAAGCATCCCTCTGATGATTCAGCCATGCTGTCTGGTGGACGCTGCACTGTTACCCCAAAGTTCCCTGCCTTTCTCCACCTCTCCTCCACAGGTTTTCCTCTGGTTGGCCGTCACTATGGAAACAGGAAGTGAGTGGCAGGGCCCCCCAGGATTGGCACCCTGTCCGCGGGTTGCATTCCTCAGCAGGGCAGCGGGCTGCTACTCCAAAAGGACCTTCATGGAGAGGTGCTGGTTTCTGGAACTTTCTCTCGCTAGGTTTTCTTGTTGGAGATTCCAGTGTTATGGCAAGTGAGGTCAACCAGGGCGGTATTCCACAAAGCAGGACTTCTTCATTAGCCAGATGACTTAAGCCAAATGTAAGGATTGTCCAATAGGAATGTCACTTACCTCTCTTCCTATTGGACAGCTTTCATATTTAGCTAATCCAGCTAACTGGGAAATCCAGCTTTGTGAAACACCCCCCCCAGAGCAATCCTAACCAGCACAAATTGATTGTTACCACCAGTCTCTGCATTTATTTGCACAGTTATCCAAAGCAAATTACACTAGAGGGAAGGGTTATGAGTTTCATGTGCTTTCTGGGATTTGCACCCACAACCTTTGTGTTAGCAAAGTAGCACAATGCCATAATTGCTGAGCTGCAGTAGCTCATACTGCGTTGTGGTTGTCCTGGTGCAGCGGTAGTCACGATGTTCTGTTTTGTTTCAAAGTAGAGCTGATTCACTGTGTGTTCTGGCTGGAACAAGGGGGTAGTAAATAAACAGAGAGGGTTCTGGCTAAGGGGAAGATAACGGCAGCTATGGAGGAACACGGGACACGGAGCAAGGTGCTGGAGCCACTGCACCGCAGCCACGAAAGCCGCCAGCAGCTCGCGTCCGTGAGTCTATGTGAGAGGTGTCAGACATGCAGAGGTCAGAGGAGGGGAGAGTGTGTGGCACTGCCCTGCTCACAGGCACAAAGCCCCCAAAAAATGTTACATTTATCAGCTGTGTGACAATAACCTGGCCAGTGACAAAGACAACCTGTATTCTTGCATTTCATTCAGGTATGATAGGGTGTGTGGTTCAGTGAGTTAGGCCTCTGTTACAATGAATAGAAGGTTGTTGGCTTGAATCCCATCCTTGATAGACTGCCTGCATGTCTTTTGGACCCTTAACCCCCCAAAATGTTCCAGAGTCACTAGATAAATGGCCTGACCCTGAGCTTGGACCCCAAACTTTGTTCTCAGCTGTATATAAAATGTATGTATGTGTGTGTCTGTCTGTCTCAAAGGAGAGCAAGATGGGATATGTGAAAAGAAACATTCCACTGTACTTTATTTAACCTTTATTTAACCAGGAAGGTCCCATTGAGTTCCAATAACTCTTCTTCTTACTTGCGCAAAAGAACCGTCTTTTCATTTGATAACAGCTAACCCCAGCCCCCAGTTGTTCATCATTTGACGTTTCACGAAAATAAACACTGATTTCAGAAGCGTCCTCAAATTATGTGGTGTTTGTTTATGTTTTGAGCGGCATGATGTGAACACAGACTCTCCAAAATCCAGGAGGCAGATCTGTGGGACAGGATGTAAGACTGTGATAGACTTTGGAGCCCCTATCCTGCTCTCAGCATACAGCCGCCAGGACCCTCATGGTTGGCCAGTAGCATGCCTGATCCAGTGCTCCGTGTCGAGATACCATCGTGCTTTCTTCCGCTTCTGAGGCACAAGGCACGAGCAGAAAGGCACACCGACCTGCCGTCTCACACCGAGGATGGCCCAGAAATTCCTAAAAGGCACCGTGTCACTGCACGTGTCATCTGCGTGATTTTATGGCTCTGTTACGCACACTTCACACCTCTCTGCTTCTCAGTTTTTCCTGGCACCACGCTGATCTCCATCCACCGTTGCCGTGTATTTATCTCTGGGGCAGAGTGTCAGACGTAAACATATCAGCTGGTGCGTGTCCTACAGGATGTAACTTATCAGGCGACGAAACACGAGGCCTGAGCAGGGAGCCCTGAGCGTCAGGCGCCGGGCCAGGAAGGTCCACATAAATTCCAGGAAGACGCCAGCCCTCCTCTGATACGCTGATGTGTTCATTAGAGCTGTTCTCCCCTCGGTGTGGAGGCCCCTCGCTCGCGGCTCAGACGCCCAGCCTCATGCATGGTGCTCCCTCTCCACCAGGCCTCCTGCTGGGGCATAAATCGTAGCCCCCCTGGGGAGATGGAGCGGGATCGTGGTGCCGGAGCTCAGCGAGCAAACGGGATGTTCGCAGGGGCTTCTGTTTCATATTAGATACGCTTGACGAAGATCCCTGGAAGACAGGCAACAGCCCTGAAACCCCCAAAACAATCTGCTCCGCTCCTGGCTCAGGTTTCCCAAACGGCCAGCACAGCCGTCCGCGTTCCTCCCGGACAGGCGGGAGACGCCGCGGCCCTGAAACACGCATGCTTCTCAGGATCCGCGCTCAGCCTGAGGTTTATGGCTCGTTAAACTGGCCCAAAACAAGCGGGAACAGAAGCGCGTATTCC